TCTTCAGAAGGCTATGCAAATCTCACCCCCTGATGGAACAAAGAGATGGCTTAAGTTGTGTCTTGGAGTTAAAACATGCAAAAAATCGTTTTATGTTGAAACCACCTGTAGTTCATAAATAGTCTACCACACCTAGTGTCTTCTTTGTCTCATCTAAGAATTTAAGACAAAGTCTCTCTTAAACCAAACTTTAATGCTACCTTTTTGTCTTTTTCTAAGGAGGAAGTGTGTTCAGGTGTATGAGTGGCCTCGTACAGGCCTTTTTCTGGCCTTGACTGCTAGCTTTTTTTTCTCAGTTGTCCCACAGTTTAATTCCTATATCACACTTGCAAATAACCAGTAGCCAGCTAGTTTCTTAAGTTAGTCCAGGATTTCTTATTATCATGTTGCATGAATGTTTGACTTTGATTTTTTTTGTAGTTGTTATTTTACAAGTGTCAAGGGAGTGTCTAGTTGTGAACTAGCCACTGTACAATAAAACAGACAAGTATTGCACTTGCACTCTAAACAAAACACTACTGTTTATTTACTTATTTGTACCTATTTATTTATATTTCTTATTTTCTTTCCTTATTTCCATTCTGTAGAACTATAAACTACAAGAAGAAGATTGTACATATCCCAGCAGGTCATTGCTGGGTTGAAGGAGATAATCATTCACACAGTCATGACAGCAACTCCTTTGGCCCGGTGAGTTGTCATATAAACTGAAATCTGTCCTAATGTCAAATGCCAGTGGTCCACTTAGTGTGAAAGTAAGCTCTTTATTTTAAAATGGTGTACAGGTTCTCGAAAAGTTGGAGTTGTGTCCTTGAATTCTACAATTTTCTGGGAAGCTGATCTAAATTTGTCTATCCTATAAATTTATCTATTAATTTTACGTGTATTTCATTTCATTTTATTTCTGTAGGTGTCACTGGGTCTTGTTCAGGGAAAAGCTACTCACATTGTATGGCCACCAGGGAAATGGCAAAAACTAGAAACATTTTCACCAGAGGGACAACTTGACTCTGATAAAATTTATACTCAGTATGAAGCAAGGGATGCAAACGATCTTCCTAATAATGTGGATATAACAGTGAAAAGAGATGGCATAACATGCAGCGGCTCTACAGCTGACTCTAGTCGAACTCATAATGAGTTTGAGGAAAAAACTTCTGTTACAGAAATAATTTGTGGCCCTGTAAGTTGACCAGAACTGTATTTGTCTCAAATGAGGAACCTCAAATTTATTCGCCAAAGACAATACTTTGAAGTGTAAAAATGTTTACTGTAATATTCATTTGCACTGTTTTTAATTCTGGATTAAATATTTTTGTTCAATTAATGCTTCATGAATCAGCTCAATCCACAGTGCTGTATTTCTAATCGTTTCTCCCACTAAATCTAAATTGGGTCTCACTAATTAGGGTTCATATTACATTATTAGAGCCCAACTACTGTATATGGNCAGTGGTCCACTTAGTGTGAAAGTAAGCTCTTTATTTTAAAATGGTGTACAGGTTCTCGAAAAGTTGGAGTTGTGTCCTTGAATTCTACAATTTTCTGGGAAGCTGATCTAAATTTGTCTATCCTATAAATTTATCTATTAATTTTACGTGTATTTCATTTCATTTTATTTCTGTAGGTGTCACTGGGTCTTGTTCAGGGAAAAGCTACTCACATTGTATGGCCACCAGGGAAATCGCAAAAACTAGAAACATTTTCACCAGAGGGACAACTTGACTCTGATAAAATTTATACTCAGTATGAAGCAAGGGATGCAAACGATCTTCCTAATAATGTGGATATAACAGTGAAAAGAGATGGCATAACATGCAGCGGCTCTACAGCTGACTCTAGTCGAACTCATAATGAGTTTGAGGAAAAAACTTCTGTTACAGAAATAATTTGTGGCCCTGTAAGTTGACCAGAACTGTATTTGTCTCAAATGAGGAACCTCAAATTTATTCGCCAAAGACAATACTTTGAAGTGTAAAAATGTTTACTGTAATATTCATTTGCACTGTTTTTAATTCTGGATTAAATATTTTTGTTCAATTAATGCTTCATGAATCAGCTCAATCCACAGTGCTGTATTTCTAATCGTTTCTCCCACTAAATCTAAATTGGGTCTCACTAATTAGGGTTCATATTACATTATTAGAGCCCAACTACTGTATATGGGGTTGGTACTAAACCCGGCTACAACAATCGTAAAATGTACACTACAAATTTTATGTCATGGTCTCACACAAACTGTGAAACCTCCCGCTGCTAGGATGTTACAGTTCAGGAGTCTGGCTGACATGTAGGGTGTGACCACAAAGTGGACAGATGAGTCTGAAAGACAAAGAAAAGATTTACAGTCAGTTTGGATTTCTTCTAAGTATATGCAAAGGAAACTTGTGTTGGTGCTCTCATTAGGAAAAGAGAAGTCAGCTGGTGGTATACTCACTTCTGTGTGTGGCCATTCATAGAAAATTTCTCTTTCTGTGGGCACTTCCCTTGTGGATTGAAATTCTGTTGGTGTACAAAACGAAACCCAATGATTACTTTCTTGAGGTTTCATAAATTATAGATCAAACTATCAGGTCACAATTAATCTTTATTCTTGGAGTCCCTTAGTATGATTTAATCACTTGTGGCAGTTGCAGATGGGGGAGGCACGACCAAGGGACTCGGTTCGACCCAGTATTAACTCTTTGGCTTTCCCGCCAGCAAAGGCTCCCTGAAGTGAAAACGTTTAGGAGTGGGGAGGGGGGTATTGGCAGTTCCCCTCCCATCTGAATTTTGTCTGTCGGCAGAAAACATAGGGCACCAAAATTAAGACTCGATCTCCTTTGTCAAACATGAAAATTATTACTATTTTTTTTCTAATAATGGGGTTTAAGGAGAGGGGGTACAGATACACACAGATTCAGAGAGACTTTATCATCAGCAGAGCGCCTCATTGCCGATGGTCATATACAAAGATAATGAAGATTACAAAAAGGACTTTTTCAGTCCTTGGCTATTTTATGATCAGTTCCAGATTATAACAGTCTAATAGGCACAGACCAGCCATCTCTGACTCTAAAATCATGTCTGAAACAATGATAATTACGCACCTTTTTCTGGCTAACAACTGAGGAAGACAATTAAGAGAATTTCTCCCAAGGAATCATAAAACCACTTCTTGAGAGTAACTGGCGTTTCAAAGAGTAGTCCACCGTGTGCTTAGCAACGAACAAATCAAAAAGCCCATCAGATTGTACTGCATAAATCGATGGCTGTTGTACATGGTGATGACCGATGACGCTTTCCATTTCTGGGGAGAATTGTTGGCCTTCATGTCTCCTGTTGGATATGTTGGACATCGACCCCGTTGGCTTATACATTCTCCTGTAGGGAGCTTCAAAGTTAACGAGCCTTGCCAATATTTGTTTAAATGCTAGTATTCAGAACTCCCTAAAAATGTAAAACTATTGCAGCTTGCTAGGACTGAAGCTTGGCAAAGAATACAAACTGTACCCGGAAGACCAAGAGGAAACGATGAGGTTATCTGGTTTTGTGATTCTAGAATCTGTTCGGCACTTTAGTTCTAGAATAAATTCTAGAATTTATACTAAAATTAGTGTGGAAATAATTAAAGGTCAGTCAAGGGCTTAATGTAAATGTACTGACTCTGTTTTGATTTTAGTTTATTGCACAGATAAAGGAGAATTATTTTTCATGGCATGTTTTATAGACCTTAAACTAAGAAAAAGAAAAGAAAGAAAACAATAGTGATGTCCCCCAATTAAACAAGAAAGGAAAGTAAGACAACCCGTCCTTCTGAAGGACACGTATTCTTCATTAAAGAAAACAATTATAAGAAATAAAAAAGTTCAGTAATAAATACATTCATAAGATTTAGCAAAATTAGCCTAGCAAATTTGCGGACAGTATCCATCGGGCCGGGTCAAGGCCTTTTTTTTTTCAATGATGACTTCAAGCCGCGCTGTACTTGCACTAACATGAATTTTAACAGACTTTACACGTTAAATTGAATGTAAATCTTTATATTTCCAAGTTGTTGAATAAACCGTTTAAGACATAATCCCTTGTGTTGCACTGTTGTTTATTGAAATGCACCACGTCCTTTTCAGGCGAGATATGTTGAAGCTTCCTTATTGATCGCGTGTGCCTGGGCCTTAACGTGACATAGCCAACCGCATACGTCACGCGATAAGTATGACAACACGTCGTATAACAATATTGTCATGTTTCAGGCTGAAATTTCCAGCATAGATTTTCCTAAAACCCTGTGTTGTCATTGGTTAAAACGAAACAACATGAAAGTTAAGAATTAATTAGTTGAATAAAACCATTTACAGTTGTTTTATTAGCAACTAATGACCACAGCAACGTGCTGCAAGAGCGGCGAATATTCAGAGTTAGCGAATTGCAATCCAGACATGAGAAAACCTTTTTTCCCTTTCCTATTTCAAGCAGAAATGAGTTAACAACTGAAATAGGGCTTGGAGGATTACTATTTGTCAAAGTAAACATCGCATTACGTTACCATAAACCCGCATTAAAAATTTGCATACCAAACAGATAACTATAGCTTATCCGCAGGTGGGGCATGCAAGGTCACACAGAGTAAATAAAAAAAATAAAATAAAATAAAACTTTAATAAATACTCCCTTTTTTCCAAAAAGTCATGGATAAATGTTTATATTTACGTTTGATATAGATTGTTCGATTATAACAATTTACGATTGACAGTATGTTAGTAAGTATCATTCATTACAAGTTTCAGTTTCAGAGTATAGAACACATGCCACATGCAAACATGGCGAGTGTGTTAGAAACCTTACAGGAAGTTAGCTTCACGACCTGGCTGGCAGTGATCCTTGGATTATTAGTATTTTTCTATTGGCGAGGGATCCAAAAATACAACTCTCTTCTCGGAAGCTCTCCGCTCCCAGGACCCAAACCATTGCTTTGGATAGGAAACCTCCTCGATGTCTTCAGATATGGAGGAATGCACAAAATGTTTCTGAGTTTCTTCTACAAGTACGGCCGAGCTCACAAGTTATGTTTGGGTAGGTCACCCGTGATCGTGGTCTCCGATCCTGAAATGATCAGGGAAATCTTGGTGAAGGAGTTTTCGAGTTTTCCAAATCGGCTTGGCTTCACACCTAGGCCGCCCCTCGACTCTGGCTTATTCGTCTCGCGCGGAGAATCGTGGAAACGTGTGAGGACCACGCTTACCCCAACTTTTACCGCGTCCAAATTAAAGCAGATCGTGCCCATAATCGAGGAAAAGTCCGATCTGCTGTTGAATGAGATGCAAAGATTTTCAGAGACAGGTAGGTCTTTCGCGTGGCATGGAACCTCAGTACAGTCGACTTGTTGACTGTCGTGTTGATTTTTACTAATACAACTTTTTAAAATTAATATAGATGTGCGACGCACGTAAACAAAACATACCTGGTTTGATTGATATTTCGAGTGCTAAGTAATCAACACTACCAGCACCGCACCAATCAAAAGCTGCGTTCGTGGGCGAACGCAGTTTTTCAAAATCGTGGGGTTTGCGGGCAAGCGTCTCCTTCGCTCCCCTCCCCCTCCCCCTCTTTCCTTTTTTTTTTTTGCTCTCGTCCCAACTTTCTCGACGAACTCGCGCGGAAACGCTTGCTATGCAGGCTAGATGATTAATTATTGTGATAATGACACAAGCATTGTAATAAGAGTGCTCATTGTGTTCATCAAGCGTTAGTCAGTTTATTTTAGTTGAACTGCAGTCAAGCTCATTTCACTACCCTAATTCCCTCCCACCCTTACGGTGTTGGAGTTATATTGTCAACTCATGGTTTTGCATCTCAGTTTTGCAGTCTGACAATAAACTCCTTTGCCTCCAGACATGTGGTCTGTGGTTAAAGGTAAACAATTAAGCCAGAATTATCTAAGACTTATAATATGTGTCACAGGAGGTTAAACCTAGGTTGATTCACAATTTCTTTTGTCTCCTAGCCCTAATTCATGGATAATTAGAGCTATAATTAAAACAAATGTAGGAAAATAGGTTTTATGAGAGTGTTTTATAGAAATAACAACTAGTGAACAACTAGTCCAAGTCCGCAATCTTGAATTAAACCCATAGTCAACGACAATGGCCTTGAATTCGAGTTGCAATGATGTTGCGACAGTAGCCAGTCCCTCCCTTTTTCTCACCCCACCCCCCCCCCCTACTACCACCACCACACCCCGCCCCGCTTTCCCACCGCTATAATCTCATTTGAAACAAAGATGGCCGCCCGTAACAATAAGCCCTTGATCTCGTCGATCTTACGGAAAAAAAAGGCTGTGAACAGCCTAAATTGCAAAAGTCTTCCAGATTTGGTCAACGATGTGCCGTTGGCTAAATAGTTAACTTGAATGTGCATTCACTGAGAATGATATGTGAGTACTGTCTGATGTGAATTTCAATGACCGCACGGTTGCATTCACGTGTCTCCAAACTGCAATTATATTTACACCAAACTCACCGTTTCCGAGGGGCACCCAACTGCTTTCGCTTTTTCACCTTCGGCCTCCATTATTAGGCCGTGCAATCCTCTTGTACCATCAAACAAAATGCGTCTTACCCATCCCCATGTTGGACGCGTAGTGAGGGACTGGGTTCTCATCACATGAAGTTGCATTTCCTCGGATGCCCCGGATCCAAATACACGCGAAATCATTATCAGTATCATGCAATTCTTAAAGTTTAGTTTAGTTTAGTTTACTAAATTTTACCACATTTCATTATACTTTATTTTAAGAAAACCAAAAAAAAAACGAGAGACCATAACAAAACGCCCGTACTGGGTTCCTTCTAAGTTCTATCTCCACAAAAGAGCATGCAACTATCTTTATTTGGGCGGCACTGTACCACTCGATAGACTTAGGCTATTTTCGTGATCCGGAGATCCGCCGTTAATTTTAATGATATCAATAATCCCTCCACAGAAAAAAGCTGCGTTACAAAGGTGACAGCTGCCTCTTTGCAGACTGCTGTTATGCATCAATTTTCAACCTCGTTCCCAGGGAAAGAACCGTGGGAACGAGGTTCCTTACTTCCGCATTTTGCTTTCTTCACTCGATCGAATCGAATTTAGCGCAGCGAAGTTACAATTGTTAATCGCAAGGTAAGTTCACAGGTATTATCGCTCAAAAACTAGTACTGTTAGTGTTCGTTTGGGAAGCAGTAACGTTGGTTCGTTACAAATAGCCTCTCACGGCAGCCCAGGATAGCTTATATAGGAAACACGCTTTGTGTAAAACAGAACTGTTGTACATGTTGGCAAACTGAATTTGATCATGATGAAGCTCTCAGCTCGATGGGCTTCACCAGTGTGCGAAGTGCAAGGGTTTTTAACTGACTGCTAAGTTTTGACATTCAGCAAAGAGTTAACTGATAGCCGGAAGTCAACAGTGATTTTGAGCAGAGATTAATTAAAGCTCTTCCACCATGCGTACCTCCAGGCCGCACTTCTAGCTCACTGAACGGCTTCAAAACCTCTAGTTGCACATCGATGTCTTCATTATCAGCACACGTTGACATTTCTAAAAAATTATGAGCTCCTTTTTTAACGATTTTTTCAACAGCAGTGCTATGGAATGGCTATAATCGCTAACCATCAGTGTCAGATACATAAAACATCGGAGGCATCATCAATGCATAAATTATTAGCTGGAGCTAAACCATATTTACCCGGTTTGACTCTGACTATTCTTTTACAGAAGGATTTATTTTATTTTAACCGTTTTGAGAAACAGATGGATCCTACAAAAGTAAAATATTTACACAAGCTGGGGATACTCTGGATATTAAAAAATCTAAACCGATATACAGGGCCGGAGTCACGGTGTTGCATTACACATGCATTTCGGGGTCATTTTCGCAGCGTTCTTATAATATTAAGGTGCTGTTTATCCGAACATTCACGCTAGACTCTTATCACAAATAATGAAATTCGCTTATAGTTTAAGGTAAACGTCCAGCTAACGCAGATCTTTTTGGAAATGTCTTTTCATACTTGAAGGAACGCCAGAATGCGTGCATTGCACTCCTTGTCTCCCAGAAGACATGGGCCGAAGCGCGCTTATGGGTGCAATGATTTTTATATAAATTGATATTCGCTCCTCTCGAGTGTCTTCCAAATGCCTGAATTTTCCGTAACCGGGCAAAATCCAAAATGCTGTCCCTCGTCTGCGCTTCTAAATAACTATGGTAATTTCAGTTTGACCCGTGAACTTAGACTAATCTTAAGTAGGACCTAGGATAGCTTTGATGATATTCAATGGACAAAATGGGCTGGTTTAGTTTTTTTTAAATCTGACTAGCTTATCCTTCGAACTTTCTGGGTCATTTAACTTTATGAAAACAACCTCTGATTATACATTATACAAACTTTTGAATTCTTCCCCTTTCTTGTTTTTGTACTAGTTTTATACTTTAGTATGGCAGCATCATCAGGACCGTCCCAGGCTTTCGTTCAACTGGCCTCTCCAGAGGAAGGAAATTGGCTTTCCCTCGGACGAGCCTTGACATCAGTGCTTTGTCAAGGTCTTCGTCCCTATATTAAACGAGAGATGGCTATTTTCTACAGCAACGTAACAGCAGCAATCACAGGATCACGCGTTGCACCGTGCACCTGTGTCTATGATCCGAGCAGAAAGAAGAACCAATACCACGATGTGAGCAAGTGTGCATGGGCAATATTTCTCCAAAACGTACACCTGGGAAACAAACCAAACTGGAAGCAAAGTGATTCCACCAAGTGGATGGACCCCAATAATGGTCAGTGGGAGATAGCTAAACTTTTTCTCCCGGATATTGGAGGACATACTGTTATAGAAAGTGCCGAGGACATGGATGTAACTGCTATTTTGAATCTGATGTTCTGGTGCAATCACTTTACTGCTCAGCGATCTCTGATAAAAGATGTCCGAGAAACCAGAAATACGAAGTGGGTGCATGTTCCAAAACTGGAGCTGTCCCTAACAGAAAAACGAGCTGCCTTTGAAACAATCGAGAAGCTTCTGCAAGATCCAGTATTTACTGGAGATCCAGATGCTCAGGACGCTTTACGAGATATTTTAGCCCTAAAATGTAGCTCAGATGTGCACATCTTCAAAGCAGAAGTCTTATCTCATTTCAAGGAAGCAATTCACAAGGATATTTCAAGCCTTAAAAGTGAACTGAACTCGTTAAGAAAGGAATCCAAGAAAAATGGAAAGCAACGAGCTCGCGTGGAAAGACAACTACGCAATTTAAGACAAGGCCTAGAGAAAGTGGAGAAAAAATCGGCCACGCTTTCGTCAATTCTTGCCCACATTTTGGAGCTACTAATGGTCACTATCGTTTTCTTGTTCAAAATTGTGGGAGGCACAAATGGAAAGTCGTCCAAAGATTGGCTAAAGTTGCTCCTCTTATGTTTATGGTGTTGCATTGGCACTCTGGATCACAGCTCATTTAACGATGGTATGTCACAATCCATTAAATTTATTTTTACATCAACCATATCCCGTATTCTCAAGGAGTGTTTTATCTCTGTCACGGCGTATGAGATTGTCAGGAGTAAACTTAGTGAAAGGAATAAAATATACCCTAACCCCTACTTACGTTCAGCCTTTTTGTACCCTAGCTTCTAATATCCCTTCCTCTTCAAATAGTTCGGACTTGTTTTAGCTTTAAAAGTAACTTGCAGTTTCTCACTGAAGAATGTCCAATTTTATTTTTAGGCTGTCCTGCAGAGGAAGTTGATGTTCCTTTTGACACCAAAGAGTTTAACTTGACTGATTATCTAACCATTGCTCGGGAAAATTTCATAGGTCGTCGGTGGCTATATAAAGAAATAGAGGGTGCCTTCTCCTCTTCACGCGATAAAGTATCTGGTGTGTTGATTATCGGAGACCCTGGAGCTGGAAAGTCCGCATTAGCTGCACAGTTGGTCTGCTCCCGGGGTACCACCTCTGTAAACATTCTGACAGAAATACTCAGAATGGAGGCAAGTTTGTTCGTAACTTAGCCGATATGATAGCTCGCCGACTTCCAGAATATGGGTACATTGTTACCAATAATTCCTACATTCAGCGATCTTTATCCACCGACTGCGTGACACTCCAAGATCCCGTGGGTTGTTTTGAACAAGCAATTCTGTTGCCCCTAAGACGTTTAAAAAATAAACCAAAAGCGAACTGGTACATTGTCATTGATGCCTTAGATGAATGTCTTGCTCAAAGTGAAACAGGTCATAGTATCGTTTATTTGCTTAACAATAAGCTTCCCCGTTTTCCGTCATGGCTGAAACTTGTGATGACCTCTCGCAATGAATCTAGCGTTTCCATCAACTCGAACAGCGTAGCAAAGCTCATCATTGATCCTGACGATATCCGAAATATAGAAGACATTGAACTTTTTTTGTCTACGAAACTTCTTCAAGATGGTCCCTTAATAAACCGAATTAAGTTTTGGTTTGGAGATAACAGCATTAAAAGCACAGCCAGACTAATCTCCGCTTTGTTGAGCAAAAGTCAGGGAAATTTCCTGTTCGTTAAGGAGATGCTTCATCATTGGGAAACTTCCAGAGCTGAAAAGAGAGATCCCTATGCACTACCTGAGACGCTTGGCGATTTATACCACAGCTACTTCGAACGCCTGTATAGTCGAAAGGAACAATTCCGGCCGATTCGGCGAGTGCTAGAACTACTTGTGGCAACATTTCAGCCACTGTCACTTAAAGAAATTTATGAAGTTCTTAAAACAAAGGAAGAAAATCTCGAAGAAGAATACGAATTTAAAGATAGAATTAACGGACTGGGACATTTTTTAAGATACGGAGAAAATGACACGGTGACATTATATCACCTCTCTTTAACAGAATGGCTCACCAGTGAAAGCAACAAGAATAGTCTATTTTACGTCAGCAAGAAAAAAGGACATGAAATGTTTTGCGATTACTACTTAATCTTAATTGCTGACGGAGATAAGTCCTCGTTGTTGAAATACATTCTGACTCTGGCGCAACACATAACCTATGGTGGTTGGAAGGCGTCTTACGTTAAACAGTTTCTGAAGTTTCCTTCACAAGTTGTCAATTCTTCGGATCCTACAAGTAATAGGACTTTGTTGCACCTTGCAGCCACGATAAACAGCACAGACGTAATGGAGCTACTGCTGAGACACTTCAGTTGCATTGACTGTATTGATAATCGCGGGATAACACCTGCATTTTTGGCCGCGGAGCATGGACTCGTTAATAATCTGGCGCTAATGGTGAGCAAGGGAGCCAAGGTAAATCGCAAGACGAAGTCTTTGTTATTCATTTTGGAATCAGAAGGAAACGAGTATGATGAATTTGTCACTAAAAATTGTCTTTGGACTCCAGTTCTTCAATCAAAGTCAAAGTACTGGGGTTCCACAATGCTCCACGCTGCAGCTCGCCGAGGGCACATGGAAGTTGTTGCCTTTCTTCTCGACAACGGTGCTTTTATTTCAACCGTCGATGGTGTCAATTTAACTGCACTACAGATAGCCGCTGAGAATGGGCATTCAGAGGTCGTTAAAGCGTTATATAATGCCGGTGCAGTTGCAGATCAAACCTCTCTTCACCATGCAGCCGCCAATGGTAGGTTGGAGGTGGTAAAGTACCTTTTGAAAATTGGTGTGAGGGATAGGTGTATCAGATGCGATGGGTCCTTTTACTGGCTGAAAACGCTAAAACATGTACATCGTTTGCAAAGCAACATGAAGACGGAAAATGTCATGTCAGTTCATATAAACGAACAGTGTTTTGAGGATACAGAGCAGATGGAGAAGGATCTTTGCATCGAAAAGAAAACTGAAAACACCACCAACTTTGGAGAGCTTTTTGACGACAAACATTTATTATTTTGCGAAACCGCCATTCATGCAGCAGCTTCAGCAGGCCATGTGGAGGTAGTCAGGGAACTAATTTCTTCGCCACCAACAGCATTAACGTGTCGGGATTATACAGGGAGAACTGCCTTACACGAGGCTGTTCGTAAAAATAATAGTGAGATTGTGAAAATGATACTCAAAAAAGACCCCGCGTTGATACATGAAACTTGCAATCATTGGCAAAGGGTGGAACACCGAAATGAAACGCATATATCCTTGAAATTAAGTTGTGAAGAATCTATAGAATACCACGGTGATATCTGTCACTGTGGATACACACCCCTTCACATGGCTGCTCGTTATGGACACTGGGAAATTGGAATGTATCTTATTAAAATTAGTGGAGCACGCGTTAATGCTTCTGACTGCTTTGGAGCGACCCCACTTCATGTTGCCGCTTGCCATAACCACAAGTTATTTGTACATATGCTGATGCGTTCAGAAAGCAGTGCTAACATTAACAGCATGACAGCTAATGGTTCGACACCTCTTCACAGCGCCGCAGCATGTGGAGCCGTTGAAATTATTGACCTACTACTGTACT